ACTCTGCAGAGAATGCTTTCGAAACGCATGCACCTACACTTTTGAATATGTGCAACGGTACTAGCTCTTCCTGGAAAGAGAGACTGACCAGAAAAGCAAGTTAAATTTTACAATATAATTAAATGGAAAGTCAAATGAAAATCTTACCGCTGTAGTCAGCATATCCCTGGCTGTAGCCATAACTTGGGTAATTGTACCCAGAATAATCATATCCCCCATAGCTGCTATAGCTTTGATCACTGTAAGGACTGTTGTAACTTCCGTATCCTTGATCGTAGTAATTGTTATACCCTTGATTCCAATTTTGGCCTTGACCTAAAAAATGAAGTGATTGCAGCATTAAGTCTACCTGTGTTTAAAGTTAATAAAAACTAGAAGTTGCTATAGGACAAAATCTGTGAAGTACTTGCTTTGTTCCTTTCTAACGTGGTTTCTAGTCTGGTATTCCAAAGCTCATTTAATGCTAGACCTATCCTTTTATAAAACAAACTAGAATGTACTTTCCATTCATGCTAAAACTGAGGGAAATTTTCTTAAATTATTTTATTTCATGAGTTATGTACTTCAGCAATTATGTTACAATTTATTATATACTTACCCCTGCCACGTCCTCTGGATCCCCCACGCCCACCAGATGAGGCACCTCTGCCTCCCTTTTGTTGCTGCTGCTGCTGCCTATATACATCTTTGGGTTGTGCTACTTTGATCTCACACTAAGGACAAAGAAGAAAGTGAGTGTAACTTTAATACAAAATATATGAAGAATATATGAAGTTAATTATTGCGACTTCTACAAGTTAACAACCACCAATAATACCTTGCCAGAACCAATCTGATGGTATCTGCTTTCCAACAATTTCTTTACTGGTTCTTCATCCGAGTATGTGATGAAGCAAAAGCCTCTCCTTTCGTTAGTTTTTGTGTCCATGGGAAGTTCTATATTCTCAATCTGAAAGCCACATTAAAAACAATCAAAGTGTATTCACTTAACCCAAGTTCCATACCCACCCTTATGGGACCTCCAATTTTTAAAACCAATCTCTTTTTCTTCCTTTTTTTTATGCTTGGAAGATATCATACACTTTTATGTAGTTGTAGTTCACATGTTTAAAGCCAACTCCATAAAATTTAGCCCCTTCGCTAAAGGGGCCGTACAAAAAAACCTTTTAGAAGATAATCACTAACACCTCGCCATATTTGCATTCCTTTCCATGTTATTTCTCCTCTGATTTTCCAGTTCGGACTTTTTTAGACCAAAAATTATGTCATCTCTACCCTAACAATCACCACCTTGCTACAAACAACACTGATGTGGCCAAAAAACAAAGCAAATTCCCTCCCATCCTTCTCAGTGCACATTCATTCCCAATTTTTGCAGGCTATTTAAAATGCTGTTCTTGATTTAGACGTTACACGGGTCAAGTTAGTCAAAAGAAACTGGCAAAAACTACTTAGGCATATTGCAATAAGCTATGTTTTTAACTAGACATTATACTGGATAACACTCTCTCCCCCTCCGCCATTTAAATAAAGCTTTAAATGGATTATACCTCTCCAAAACCGCCAAAATACTCCTTGATTTGTTCTTCAGATGTATCTGGACTCAGTCCACCAACAAAGACCTTTTTTGGTGGCTCTTTCCCTTTCAGGGCTTTTGCCCTTTTGGGATCTATTAACTTGCCATCCAGTTTGTGTTCTTTCAATTCCAGGACCTAAAAAAAAAAGAGATATTTATTGAAAACTCAGTTCCAGGAGTAAAAATCAACACAGATGTTTGGAATTGTTTAGAGAAGATTCCATGGTCCCACAGAGATGACTACATACCTTCTCAACACTGGCAGCATCTTTGAAAAGCACAAACCCAAACCCTCTTGACCTCCCTGTGACAGGATCTGTTTTTATTGTGCAATCCACCACTTCACCAAAGCGAGACAAATACTCTGTCAAGTCTTTTTTGCTTGTATCCCAGCTCAGACCACCAATGAACATTTTACTGGAATGGAAAAAAGAAGGTTTCAAAAACTGACATTCATAGGGTTACATTGATCTAACACAATACAAAAAACACTTACGAGCTAATTTGCCCCAATTCAGGTTTGTGGTTCAGATACAAATTGTACTTGGGGGGGGGGGGGAACCAGAAACACAATTTTTAATTGAAGCATGAGGGGCAGAAAAAAAACCCTCCAGAATGTCATCCCTCACCTACTTTCCATCACAAAACATGCAATTGTCATGCAGAAGTTATTAATCTTCTCCAACATTTACAAAACATGAAAATGATCCTCAATATCACCTAAACCAGGTGAAAGGAGGTGTGAACTGTCAAACAATCCAAAATAGTTTATTAACATATGCTAGGTATGCAATACATTTTGAACATAAACAACTGTCTTAAGCAAAAAAGCAAAGCAGAATAAAACAGAAAGTGACTTCAGCCATTCTGGAAACATTCCAAATTTAAAACAGTCCCAATCCAACCATGAAACACCATTTTCAAAATAGAGTGGTAAAACTTACGATACAGTAGAACAGCACAGGCATACTTCTGATACATGTCAAAATATCACTTTTAACATTTGGAAGTCTTTAAAAAGAGGGGGAATTTTTTATTTAAAAAAATTAAGAGCAGTTCTGTATATATTCTGAAATTATGGCCAGCTACCTCAGGTCCATAGACAAAATTTGGAGCATGCTTATTGAAAAGGTTAATGGATTACAGTGGGATTTTTTTTCACAAATAAAAGGTGGGCCAATTCCTGAATCAAAGCAGTTTAATAAAATAACAAAACTATAGTACTGATGTAATTAGAGATCAAGGAAAGTAACTGGATTACTTCAATAATGTTGGGGGGAAAAACCAGTGAAATACAACAGATTCCAAGGAAATAACTTTAAAAAACCAGTAAAACTTGCATACATTTTATTCCAAGGTAGGTGGCAATCACATCTTCCTGTAAAATCAGAATATAGCATTGTGCCTATGAACTGTTACAAACCCCAAATATAAAGATATTTTGGGGAAATATCACGGCAATTCTGTGAGACACTGGATAAGCAAATCCAGATCTTCCTGATGCCAGTCCATTTTCTTAATTATTACATTGCACTGTGTAAATTCTCCTTAACCATAAACACAGGTAAGAAGTTTATGCATTTGAAGTGAAGGTTCCAACTACTACAGCTCTCTACAAAAGTGGCAACGTTTCTTCATGAAGATCTCAAGCAACCATTTTCTTTTAAATGTAATTAAAACAAATAACTGTAACTGGATAACTGAAAACATGTGTCTGCAAAAAAAACCTAAGGGAACCACAAATTTTGCAGTAGGAGATAAATAAGCTATAACCAGTATGATGCTGACTTTGCTAATAGGCCACAATGGTGGCAATCAGATTTGCCATAGAAAAATGGAACCCCAGATAGAGTTCACTGCTCACTATCTTCAAACTTTCTTTCCTATATAGAATTTCAGCATACACTAGATAACCTTGATTGTATTTTTACTTTATCTTCTCCAAAGTTGCACACACACTACTGCTTCATTTTATCTTCACAACAACCAATCATGAATTGGCAGAGGGGGGCACACATAACTAACCCAAGGTCATGGAGACATCTCTTATCTAATTCTCAAGCATCAGAACCACACTGCAGCTAAGGTGGGCATCCTGAAACCCAGGAGAGTTGTACTGTATCCTCCAAGGAGTTAAGGATCCTTCATCTGCACCTAAAATAACAATCCAAGCAACATACTGCATGTTTAATAATACTGTACAGTACTTTACATCTTTTCGAGATCCGTTATGGCTTCTAAGTCTTGTGCGCAGCCTGTAGACACCAAAACAGCTCTCTCCCTAGGGTTTATACTCTACCCTGCACGTGGCTCACTTTCTGCTATTTGCAGTCCTCCAAATACAGGCAGTCCCCTATTTATAACCATTCATTTACTGACTATTCAAACTATTACAACAGCACTGCAAAAGATGACTGTTTTTCACACACAAAAAGCATCCCCATGGCAACTGCTATGTATTTATGATGGTTGCAGTGCCCTGGGGACATGTGATCAACTTTTGTGACCTTCTGACAAGCAATAGAGAAGTCAGATTCACTTAACTGCAATAATTAACTTAACTGCCTTGATTCCCTTAACTGTGGCAAGAAAAGGCTGTAAAATGGGGCAAAACCCACCTGTCTTGCTCAGCAACAGAAATGTTGGGCTCAGGTGTGATCATAGGTCAAAGACTACCTGTAACTACTTTAAAAGGCATGCTTGCCCTCCAACCATCTTCTAGACCAGTCTCAAACTTTGCAACATTAAGACACGTAGCCTTCAGCTCCCTTAATGCCCCCTAGCCAGCATGCTACGAATTGAAATCCACAGATTTTAAATGTTTTGGACAATTGCTTCAGACAATCTTCTCTCATCCTGATGTAATCCAGATGCACCGGACTGAATCTCAGCTGAGAATGATACAAAATCATAAACCTCATGTATCTAGACCAGTGTTTCTCACAACCTTGACAATTTTAAGGCATGTGGACTTCAACTCCCAGAATTCCACAGCCAGCATTGCTGGCTGTGGAATTCTGGGAGTTGAAGTCCACATGCCTTAAAATTGTCAAGGTTGAGAAACACTGATCTAGACAACAGACAGCTCCCCTACAAGTGGCTTGACAGCAAGCAGGGTGGCAGTCAACATGAACCCTGATCTGAAATGTTGAACTTTGGAAAGGATGGCATACCAGCACCTGATGAGGATCAACCCCCCCCCCCCGATCATTCTTAAAAACGTAACGCAGTGTTTCTCAACCTTGACAATTTTAAGGCACGTGGACTTCAACTCCCAGAATTCCACAGCCAGTTCTGGGAGTTGAAGTCCACATGCCTTAAAATTGTCAAGGTTGAGAAACACTTGATGTAACGTATCAGGAGCCTTTCGGCCAGCCACGCTCTTGGCCAGTTCAACCCCGCAGGGCTTTCGCTGGCCTGAAGCCGGAGGAGAGCGCGCACGCGCCTGCAAGGCCCAAGCGAAGCCCGATCGGGATCTGGCGGCGACGGCCTGGCCTGGCCCCGCCCACAAAGTACCTTCTTCTCGCCAACTCCGCCCCTCCTTCCTTCCCCCGCTTCAAATGTTGCAAGTTGTGACTTCGCCCCGCCCACCCGATGGGGGCCAGCAACGCGCAATCTCGGCCGCTCCGGATCCACCTCCCCCCCCATCCAGGTCCGCCCACTGAGATCCTATAGGCTGCCGGTTGCGTCACGCGGGAACGGCCAACCCCCCCCTCGCTGCTCCACCCATTCGGACGTGAGGCCCCGCCCCCCTCCCGCGAGAGCGCGGGGGTGTGTGAAAAGACACAAAGGGAAATACGGCGGCGGGAGGTGCAACGCTCGCAAGTGAAGAGCGCGATCACGTGGCAGCTGCCGGGCGAAAGGCCTTACTGAAAGGCCCCCCCCCCGATTACTTTTTTTTTTTACAGGCCAAAATGGCGCCCGACCTATCGTCTCAAGTCTCCTTCTCTTTTCCCCCCCCTCTTACTCGTTTGGCAAAGCTGTCCCTTCCTCCTGATTGCGATCCCCCTCGTACCCGTCATCCTGCTGGTTCTTGCTGGCGTTGATCTTAGAGCCTTCGGCGAAATCTTCCTGGCCGCCACCGCCGCCGGCACTTGTGTTGTTATTGTTATTGCTACTGCCGTAGTCGGTGTTCTCCTCCATAGCGGGAACGGGCCGAGGGGAAGAAAAAAAAAAGCGCGCGCACAGACGCAAGGAAAGAGATTGAATACGCGGTCCGACCCGAGTATTAAAATGGCGGCCGTAACAAGAGATCCGGGCAGAGCCTGCGCTGCGCTTATATAGGAACTCCTTCGACCAATCAGAGCGCTCCAGCGGCGCAGGCGCAGTGCGGCTTCTGAAGGAGCGGCGGCGGGTGGAGGAATTTCAGGGTTGCCCATGGCGGAAGGGCAGCGGCGGAGGCGGGGAAGCGCTTTCATGTCTCGGGGAGCCCAACACGCCTCTGCAAGGCTTCGCTTCCCCTGCAACTGCAACTTTATGGATCCCGATCCCTTTCCAAGCATGGTTTCCTGAATTTGGTCCAGCCTCCGTTGCACAAAGCAAACCCACCGAATGTGACAAAGCATGGGCGAAGCATGGCTTTCATCAGGAGTTTCCCCAAAGCATGCAGGCTACATATGTGCAGGCCTAGCAGCGGGTCAGCGACCGGCCCACGTGCGTACGGCGTAACTTGTGAACACCAAGCCGGTCTAACGGGGCCTTTGCGATGAGCTGGATTGAGAGGAGCTGAACAGCCATCGGTTCAAAAATAGGATTTTTTTCCCCCTAGAATCTTTTCTTAAATTAGGCTATGCATGAAGATGTATCTAGCCTTAAGCATTGCCTTCACTCGTAAGAAGCATCCAGTCCAAAAATGCAGACCTGGTTTATCCCTTCATTTTTCTTTCTGCATTCTTTTTGCCTCCCAATTTTTTTTAAAAAAATATAAACCCTGTTGAAGGAGCCCTTGCAGTCTCAAAGTTGTTTTGTTTATTGGGGTTTGGTATAGAAACTGCCTAACCCTTGTTAATTTTCTTACGTTATTGGTTCAAGGAGGAATTATTTGACAAGATACTTTCTACATTATTTATTCAAGGATGCATTTTCTATTTTTTGTCCAGGGTGGGTTTTTTTTTACTACAACCACTGATTGCATGTTTCATCTGCAGTTGTAGGCCATATGACAGGACACCTTATTTTGAAAGTCTAAGGAAGAACATCACGGACCAAGTGTTAGGATATATATTAAGATATATCACCTAATTTCAAAAAAAAATTAAAGGTTTATTTTGCATCTATATTGACTGGCATTTGCAAATAATAAAATGAAAAACTTTGAGTATCTGTGTACCTGGCTTCGAACTCTTTAGATGTGCTGAAAGATAATTTTATTCAACATTTTTTTTCAAATGATTTAATGTTTATGGATTAATTTAAACTAAAGTTAATCTGCTCTTATTACACATGTGTAATAGCTTTTAAATTATTTCTGTTCTACTTGGCTGACATGTAACAAAGGGCCTAGGAGATAACTGGTCTGCATTATATTCCATAATAGGAGGTGGCTGTCTCACACATAATTGTTTTCCTTGGAAAAGTGACAAAGTGACACATTACCCACTTCCCCTACAAAACTGATGGAAAACCCATATTTCTGGAGAGAGTATTTAGAAGAAAATGTCACCTCTAAATAGAGGAGTGTAAAAGAATAATTGGGTATAAAATATCAGTGGACACAAAAGCAGCTTCTGCTTTTGATGGATTAATGGTAGCGTTATTTCCCCCCCAAAATACTTTTTAAAAAAAAAGTTTAAATTTTTAAAAAAAAAAAAATTATGCTAGTAGTTGTGGGAAGTCAGCCCCCCAGAGAAGGAAATATTAAAAGGGCAGAAAAATATATTTCCTCAAAGGATCTTAAAGAGACAGAAAAGCATGCCCAGTTTTTTTAATAGCCCCAAGTCTCCCTCCCCCAAGCAGAAACCAGCTCTGTAGAAATGCAGATGTAAACCATTCAGGAAGGTTGAAGCTAGAAGAAGACAAAGACACCTAAAATCTACATACCCCACCCAAACTTTAAAACAGGACATAATAGGATTAACCCACAGATGCCAAAGGGCACACCCAGACTCAGGTCAGAATACATGACACAGGAAATACAAAACCTCAATCAGGAACAGGAAACAACTCCAAACAAAAGCCCCATCTTTCTTTCTGGCTTTCCTCTTCAATAAACTGCAACCTTCTTTCTAAAGCAGTCGCCATGTTGTTTATTCCCGCCTTGGACTGAATCATGATGAAGACTTTTCCTTCAACATAGTTGACTATCAACTACTTTGGACAGCTCACAACAATCAAATCAGAGTAAAATATGAAAATGAATGTGGGTCACATATTAGTTTTAATGGATCTCAAATTTCTTAAGTAAACTGAACAACAAAAGAGGAAGCAAAATGGTGCTAAACGATGCATCCTCTAGTCTAGAGCCATTTCTGTATCCCATCATCCCCATGGCCCAGCCTGGATGCCAATGTTTACCCACATTTTGAAGGTCCCTGATGGGAGATGACTGTCTAGAAAAGGTATAGAAAATTCCATTGTATATGTGAAGCTATCCAAAAATAAAATCACCAATACCCGTTTTTTTTAGCCAAACTGTTGAGGGGTCTTTTGACAATTACAAAAACTGAATCACATCAGTGGCAGCTGCAAATGTATTTATTAAACTTACAAAGATTATACATGAAGCTAAGGCATGTCTGGTCCATATCCCTAAAAATGAAGAGAAGTACAACGCTTTTTGCCCTTATGTTTTTGGAACTTCCAAAAGCGGTAAAAAGGTTAGATTATACCTAGGAAAAAAATGATCTTCAATCTACCACCAGTACAGGTAGTCCTCGACTTACAATCACAATTGAAGCAAAATTTTCTGTTGCTAAGCAAGACAGGTTTTGCTGAATTTTACAACCTTTTTTTTGCCACAGCTGTTAAATGAATCACTGCAGTTGCTAAGTGAATAACACAATTTGTAAAGTCAATCTGGCTTCCCCATTGGTTTTGCTTGTAAGATTGCAAAAGGTGATCCTATGACTCCAGGACACTGCAACCATCCTAAATATGAACCAGTTGCCAAGTATCCGAATTTGGATCATGTAACTATGGGGATGCTGCAACGGTTGTAAGTATGGAAAACAGTCATAAGTCATTTTTTTAGTGCCACTGTAACTTCAAACGGTCACTAAAACTAATGGTTGTTAAGTCGAGGACTACCTGTAGGCACATTTGGAAATGTCAGGACATGCGGGGGGGGGGGTTCACTGCCATAATGCTGGGGCTGGTTTTTTTTACCAACACAGTGGCAGGCGCAACGTCTTTAGATGCCCCCATTTGCCAAAGTCAACGTGGTTTATTTATTTAGCATCTTGCTCTTGCATTTTGGTCTGTGACCGCAAAATAAAAATTATTATTTAGCATCTGGGAGTCAAACTGTGAATAGATGTTTGCCTATTCGGTTCATTTTTTCCCCCGTTTCCTTTAGAGCAGGTGGGTACCCTTCCAAACAGAGATTCTCCATTGGTAATTATGATTTAGAGCTTAAAAGAGCCTCCCTGCGCGTCGACAAATGTTTGCTTTTAGATTTTAGATTCGGGGGATTTGCAAGACAAATCGGAAAGCCGGATTTTAAAAGATGCGCAAGGCAGCTTCCTGTTCTTATCCCCTAAAAGGTTGGTGTCAGCTATTTGGTTTCTTAGCCCAACCTAGACCCCCCCCCTCCAAGTGCGCAGGACCAAATTCCACGGATCGCGTAGCCACCCGTGCAAAGCGGTCGCTGGGGAGGCGGGCAGCACCAAAGCCCAGCAAAGCGTTGCCGTTCCACGCGCAACTTTGAATAAACTATCTTTTCCTGCGAGAAACCGGGCGCCGGCTCGTCAGCGCGCAGACGCCTTCGCCCTTGGCTTGATCCATTTTACACACATATACACACACACGCGGTGGGAAAATGGCCGCTCGTCTTACACAACATGGTCGTTTGGGGCGTGCACGTTCACGCGCGGGTTCCTAACCTCCGCCGAGTTCGGGGAACGGTCCTTCCTCGAACCGCTTCGAGTCCCTTTTCTCCCGGGGGGAGAGGGGGGGAATGAGCACGGAGTCGTCTCTAGCTGAGAGACGACGAAGGGCCCCAATCGCGTTTTGCACGCCCATTTCCCCTTCCCTTTTAACAGCTGCAAGGGATCATCATCATTAACAATCCCGGGATCAGCTTGCCTTTATTTTTTTACTCCGCTGTAAAGCCCGGGAATTTTGCAGCCTTTCGTGGCACCAGTCCCGGGCGCGAAGGAATAAACTCCTATCCTACGTAACCGCCTCCTTAGGCCGGAAAAAAAAGGCCCTTTGCACCTCCCGCCTGCTTTGCACTCGGAGCCGCGTGCAACGATACGGAGTGCAAGCCTTTCAAACCGCGACTGAGCCAAGGTGCAAAACCAAGGAGGAACTAGGCGAGCGTGCAGCGTTACGCGGTTTTGCAACCCCACCGGCCGCCCACTTGCAACCTCCGAAGTTGTTTTTTTTTCTCTCTCTCTCTCTCTCTCTCCGCCCGCATAGGCGATTACAACCCACCCCCCAATACATACACTTTCTCTTCCCCCCCCCGCGCCTCCCCATTTCTGGCCACCAATCAGAGCGCCGCGATCCGGGTGCTGCGGCGGCTCCGCTTCCAGCCACGTGGGTCTCTGCCCTCCGCTCGTGCTCGCGGAAGACCGTGGCGGCGTCGCTGCTGTCTGTCTGAACTCCCGTCTCTCCCAAGCTTGCCGGGGGGAGGTTTTTTGCAGAGCGGCGGCCCCGATCCCCGGGATTCCTGGTTTCGCGTATGTCCCCCGGGGAGATCCGGGCTCGCGGACATCGGGGCAGCTTCCAGCCGGGGACATGGTGGGGTTCACGGTCCCCGCGGAAGTCAGCGTGTTTTTGCTCGACGTAGAAGGCACGACCACTCCGATCACGTTTGTCAAGGTGAGCTGCCCGCGTTGCGATTCCCAGGCTGGTAGGAAAGGGTGGTGTTTTTTTTGGGGGGGGGGGAGGTCGTGTGTAGACGGGGGCTATTGCAAAACCCGTGTCTTCCTCTCGCGGGAAGCTGCCTTTTGCCCTGCCTTAAACTGAACGCCCGTCGGTGTTTTCTCTTGGGTGCGCATCTCCTTCAGTCTGGCCGCCTTTTTTCCCGAGGAACGTGAGGATTTTGCCCCAAACGTGTTGAGGGCGCAGCCAGTTTAGTGTAGTGGTGAAGATGCTGGGCCATAACCCAGCAGACTCTGAATTCCATGGTAATAGGGCAGGGGTAGGCAACCTTGGCTCTTTTATGACTCGTGGACTTCAACTCCCAGAATTCCTGAGCCAGCTATGCTGGCTCAGGAATTCTGGGAGTTGAAGTCCACGAGTCATAAAAGAGCCAAAGTTGCCTACCCCTGGTATAGGGTCTCCTGCTTGAGCAGGGGTCTGGATTAGAAGATCTTCCAGCTCTATTCTATTCTATTCCTCTCTTAAGCACTGAAGCTGGCTGGGTTAATTTGAATCAATCACTCTCTCACACACACACACAGCTCAACCTACTTTGCAGGGCTGTTTTTTGTTTGAAAAGGAAAGAGCATTAGTACGCTGCTGCGTTGAGTGGTACAAAATAAAAGGCAGGATGTAAATTGTGTCTTATCTGTTTCCTGTGGTTTGGATGAGAATGACAGTGTAGGACAGTGTCATTGCTGGCTGGGGAATTCTGGGAGTTGAAGTTGCCAAGGTTGAAAAACTACTGGTGTAGGATCATGTTTTTTAATTGGAGACAGTACAGTATTCATTGTTTAAGTCTGTTCTTTCTAAAAAGTGGTGGGTTGAATGTGTGCAGGTTTCCTGTAAAGCCATTCTGACATCGGAAGGAAATTAATGTAACTTCTAGGTAAATGATTAACTGTTTGGTAGCTGTAACTTAAGGGAAGATGGAATTACCGGTATGTGAGTCATGTTTTTTTTTAAAAAAAAAACAACTTTTCTTTTGTGTTACATACTGTAAAGATTCTTTTTTAAACCTCATATTTGCTATGCAGTTGAATGTTTTCTGATAATCTATACTAATCTATGCAAAATTTGGCTGGGCTAAAAAGATGGATGGGTGGATGGATATGATTTGATGCAGTGTGTTGTGTGAAACCAGCCAACTCAGACATTTAGTAAAGCACTATTAAATGATACCTTAATGCAGGGGTAGGCAACCTTGGCTCTTTTATGACTCGTGGACTTCAACTCCCAGAATTCCTGAGCCGGTCAAGCTGGCTCAGGAATTCTGGGAGTTGAAGTCCACGAGTCATAAAAGAGCCAAGGTTGCCTACCCCTGCCTTAGTGCAATTCAACCTGAGATTCTAAGCCAATATTGTTGCATTTCAATGGAAAAAATGATTAAATTGTGTTTTATATCTGCCTTCCCATTTTTTTTCCACAACACCAATCCTGAGAGATAAATTGGATTGACAGAGAGTGCCTTCTATGCCTGTGGGTGGATTTGAACCTGGATCTGGCCAAAACCAGTCTAACACATTAACCGCATTGACTTTTCAAGTACCAGAACAGCCCAGTGTAGGTGTATTGGGCAATAAATTGCAGTGCTTCTATGGGCTTGTTACCGTGGAAAGACATGAAGATATAATAGCTAGGAATCCGCTTTCTGATTAGAGGAGGATTTTCTTCCAATAATATTCTAAGGGATCTGCTGTTGTTTTCTTTCCAGGGTCTGCAAAGTATGTAGTCTTTTCACTTAGCACATGCTTTGCACTGCAATCCACCTTGAAGTAACCACATCCATTTAGGGGGGAAAATGTCACAGTAACAACTATGAAGAAATAATTATGGACTGCAGCACAATGGCACAATTGATACAGATTATGTAATGGGGGGGGAGTGCTGCTATGGAGAAGACACTCCAGGTCCAATAGATACTATTGGAGTTAGGTGTTCCTTCAAGTAACCAGGCGTAGGCAACCTTGGCTCTTTTATGACTTGTGGACTTCAACTCCCAGAATTCCTGAGCCAACATGGCTCAGCTTGGAAACTCTCCCTTTCCCCTCAGCATGGCTGGCTCAGGAATTCTGGGAGTTGAAGTCCACAAGTCATAAAAGAGCCAAGGTTGCCTACCCCTGACCTAGGCCATGTAGGGCTTAATAGGCAGCACCTTCAACTGTACCTGGAAGCAAACTGGCAACCTGTGCAGCTACATGGGCATACTGAGACATGACCATTACTGCCTGCGCTGCTGCATTCTGGATCTGTTTAAACTTCCAGGTGGTCTTCATGGGCAGCCCATGTAGAGCTGATTGCAGTAGTCAAGCCACGAGGTAAGCAAAGTCAACAGAGAATCCAGATTTCACTTAGCAACCATGTTATTAACTTAACTGCAGTTATTCGCGTAACAACTGTGCCAAGGAAGGTCGAAAAACGGGGTAAAATTCACTTAACAAATGTTTCACTTAGCAAATATTTTGGGCTCCATTGTTCTGATAATTTGTTGCTAAATTAAAGAGATCTGTCTTTATCATCTTTTCTTCCAGAAGGTCTTCCGCATAAGCCTCTAGCTCAGGGGTCTTTAAACTTGGCCCTTTTATGACTTGTGGACTTCAACTCCCAGAATTCCTCAGCCAGCGTGCCTGGCTGAGGAATTCTGGGAGTTGAAGTCCACAAGTCATAAAAGGGCCAAGTTTGAAGACTCCTGAGCTAGATCACCGTTATCCAACCTTTTTAGGCTTGCCTGGGCCATACAGAGTGAAGAGGAATTGTCTTGGGCCACATACAAAATATATAATTTGTGTGTGTGTGTGTGTGTGTACATGCATACTTCCTTTATTTTTATTTTACATTTTATATATTCTGTGGCTGTATTACAAGCGGTCTAGGGTCTCGTAGCCCATGGGCCACAAGTTGGTTGTGCCTGATCTAGAGTTTCTGGATGAGAATGCGTATTGGTATAGAATTTGTTTCAAGGTAACTTACTATAGAGAGTGAATCACATTCCTCGAAAACTACGTTGTCTTAAAAACACATCTGACATCTACCGCCAAAGTAGTGTTTGCTGCAGTCCACTGCATGAATAGATCTTCAGCACAATTAGTCAAGCAGAGATGGAGGTTATCACTTTTGGTTGCACAAAACTGGGCTTTGTTTCAATTGACCTTAATAACTTTAAGAAGGTCTCTTTTTATATAGAATTAATTTTCCCCATGATTTGCTTTTCAAGCCCGAGCAGCCAACCTTAACATACGTTACTTATTTAACATGAAGGTCACATCATGGTCACTTAGCAAGCCCAGTAGACCTGGACATGGAGATCTAGCAGACATGATCAATCTTAGTTTAATTTAGTTCTATCTCATGTAGCTGTGCCTCAAATTATCCTCTTTTTGATGTTTAAGAATAGCACTTACAGTGGCTGATTCAGCATTTAATTATGCAGCTAATTGGTCTGCTGGAGCAGAAAAAAAGTATAACAGTAATCTGTCTTATGTCACTGGCGTAATGGAAGTCCTTGACTTACAGCCATTCATTTAGCGACCGTTCAAAGTTGCAACGCCGCTGAAAAAAGTCTCCAGTCTTCCTATTTATAATCACAGCATCCTGACAATCGGGTGATCAGAATTTGAGTGCTTGGTAACCAGCCTGTAATTAACAGCAGATCATGATTCATTTCAGACCTTCCCAGCTGGATTCCAATAAGCAAAGTCAATGGGGAAAGCCGGATTCGCTTAATGACGGTGTGATTCACTTAACAACTGCAATGATTTGCTTAACAGTGGCAAAAAGGTCATAAAATTGGTGGTGATTCGCTTAACGACCGCTTTGCTTAGCAACAGGTCCCAATTGTGGTTGTAAGTCAACCTGTTTGTCAATTTTTTCTCATTGGGCCTGTTTGAATTTATTAACTATTGTGGGGCTTCTGCAGCCAAATCAATCAGGAGCCTTAAAAACTAACACATTTGTTATCGCATATTTAGGCCATGTGCACAATACGAAGAGATTCTTCATTTGTTTTTAACAATGAAAGACTGGCCCCTTTGCAAAAAAAGAAAAAAAAAATACCCGCATTTAGTAATATATGTTTACTCTCAGAAATGATTGTCTCTTTTTCATCTTTGTGCTCACTAAGTATTCTCACTATTTTCCTACCTATGTATTTAAATTTCTCTTCGGAGAATTAGATTGCATAGATTTGGTGAAGTGACTAAATTAACAGTATTGGATAATCAATGCTTTTGAAGATGCCCTGAGGGCTTGATGTTGTTTCCAAACATATGTCCACAGTAACTTAAACCACCGATATGTTTTTGTTGTGTCCCCAGGATATTTTGTTTCCTTACATCAGGGAAAATATTCGAGATTATCTAGACACCCACTGGGAAGAAGAAGAGTGCCAGCAAGATGTTGGCCTACTGAGAAAACAGGTAGAGCTTTGGACATCTCTTCTTTATTACTTATTTATTTATTGCCTATCTTAACACAACTCTGGCTCTTTTCATGCCAGTCTGGTTATTGGCAGAATGACAAAAGAACAGAATAACAGAGTTGGAAGGGACTTTGGAAGTATCTCCTTAGGCCAATGGTTCTCAACCTGTGGGTCGGGACCCCATTTGAGGTCGATCGACCATTTCATGGGGGTCGCCAAGCAAGGCTGTCCGCCATTTTTTTTGTCTGCCATTTTTTCCCCTTTTCCGGCAGGTGTCTTACCTCCCTTGGGCTGGGCCAGCTGGTGGTCGGCCTGCTCTGTCTCTGCCGCTTGCCAGCTACACCTCGGCCAGTGCAGGGGGTGGAACCACGCATGCGCGGCGCTCCCGGGCAGGGAAAGTCTTCGACTTACGACCGGTTGGATAGTCCTCGACTTACGACCGGTTTAGTCCTCGACTTATGACCGGTTGGGGTCGCGGCATTAAAAAGGTTGAGAACCACTGCCTTAGGCTATCACCTTTTTTGCTTTTTGTTTTGATTTCCTTAGGCTGAAGAAGACTCTCATATGGAGGGAGTGGTGCCTATCCCACTGGAAACCAGGGATGGGGAAGAAGAGGTTGAACGGGTCATCCAGGCAGTGGTAGACAATGTCCTCTGGCAGATGTCTTTGGATAGGAAGACCACAGCTTTGAAACAGCTCCAGGGCCACATGTGGAAAGCAGCCTACGAAAATGGCTGCTTAAAGGGAGAGTGAGTAGTTCTTTGTGGTTGGGCAGACTCCTTTTATGGCTGAGGCTGCTTTATACATAATTTCTTTCATCATCAAAAGAGGTAATGCAGTCATATGATGTCATCAAAAGGGGCCGGGATGGAACGTTTGGCTCTTTTGATCAGCGGGTGATTTAATACAGGTAGTCCCCGAGTTACGAGCGTTCACTTAACGCTCGTTCAAAGTTACATGATGAACGCCCCCTAGTGCTTACGAGCAAGTCCCGAAATTACGAATGTTGCAGCACCACGGCAGTCGTTCGCCCTTACGAGCGACCGCAGTGGCACTGCAACATTCACCCTGGTTATTCCCTCCCTCCCCACCCCCCTCCCCGAGTCTACCCAGGCACTAGGCCTTTAATACTCACCCTGCGAAGAGCAAGATCCTTTGCTTTCTTGGCTGCTCCAGGCCTTCGGTGTGTTCACAGAGAATGGAGGCCTAGAGTAACGCAGGATCAGTGGGGCAAGATCTCACACTACTGATCTCACGTGATCTCATGGTACTTTAGGCCTCTGTTCTCTGCAACAGAGAACGGAACTGAAGCCGGGGATGCTTCCGCGTGCCAGATCCGGGCTCTGGAGGCCTTTTCCAGGCCGCTGCAGTCCGGATCTGAGGCGGGAGGATGCTTCCATGCCCCCCACCACAGCCCAATCCAGGTGGCAGCAGCCTGGAAAAGGCCTCCGGAGCCCAGATTGGGCCGTGAGGGGGCTGTGAAAGCATTTGCTGGCCTCAGATCCAGGCGGCAGCAGGAACCGCGGCAGAGAGGAGTCGGATCTTTTCCAGGTGAGTCTGGCGCGACAGGAAGGGAGGGGGAAGCATGAGGTATCTTAGTGGGGCAGGGAGGCCTTGGGGGCCTATTCCATTACTAGGCCCTCCATGGTCTTCCCCATCCTGAGATACCTCATGTTCACTTAACGAGCTGCATGCGGTTTAACGAGAAGGGAGTGATCTTGTTTGAGGTAGGAGATTCACTCTACAAGTTTTTGAGTTACGGAGTGGAATGGGCAGGCTCCATTAAACTTGTAACTCGACTCAACTTACTATCATTCCTTTAGCAACCGCTTCAAGTTACGATAGTACTGAAAAAAAGTGACTTACGGCCGTCTTTCACACTTGTGACCATTGCAACATCCCCACAGTCACGTGAACAAAGTTTGGTTGCTTGGCAACTGACACGTTGCAGTGTCCTGGGGGATCACATGATCCCCTTTTGTGACCGTCTAACCAGCAAAGTCAACGGGGAAGCCAGATTCACTTAACCACCGTGTTACTAACGTAATAACTGCAGTGATTCATTTAACAGGTCGCGGCGAGAAAGGTCGTAAAATGGGACAAACCTCAACTACCGTCTTGCTTGGCCACAGAAATTTGGGGCTGAATTGTAGTTGTAAATGGAGGACTACCTGTAGAAAAAACTAGCATTTTCTACAATGACTCTAGTCCAGGGGTCTTCAAACTTGGCCCTTTTATGACTTGTGGACTTCAACTCCCAGAATTCCTCAGCCAGCGTGCCTGGCTGAGGAATTCTGGGAGTTGAAGTCCACAAGTCATAAAAGGGCCAGGTTTGATGACCCCTGCTCTAGTCTCTGAAATGCTTTTACCACATTTATACAAGACACAACCCCCCCTTGCCCTGTTTTCTTCATCTTTGGAAAACAATATTTTTTTGCTCAAGCCTTTCCTTGAATATTTGATGATGATCTGATTTTACCATGGATGCTTTAATTGCTTTTCAATAGTCCTTTTATTGTTTACTGCTTAGAGATCACGATTAGGATAAGCTTCCAGTGATGTCATAAAATAGGAAAGCAGTTTCATTGCCTCTTCAACAATTCTGCCTCCATACTTTGCCCTCCCTACTCCAGGTTCTTTAAGGATGTTGTTCCTGCAGTGAAAAAGTGGAAAGAAGCAGGAAGAAAGGTGTATATTTATTCCTCTGGGAGTGTGGAAGCTCAGAAGCTTTTATTTGGAAACTCTACAGAAGGTGATATTTTAGAGGTACATATACAGTCTAAATGTCTATGGAGATTCTCAATCATCCAGGTCATGATTGTCCCAAAGGTGCTTTTCCAAAGCTTTCTGAATGTTACAGGAGTAAAACATAAGACGAACTACAGGTTCTTTTTGTAATGTTGCATCCATTGTTGTGTTTTTTTCCTTGAAAACATTTCACTTCTCATTCAAGAAGCTTCTTCGGTTCTGATTGAATGGTGGGGAGCAGAAGGATTTATATTCTTTCCAGTCACCTGGCTAGCTCTCTGAACATGTGTCATTGGTTCTCTTGAGAGTTGTTGAGGTCACTTGGGGTTTTATCTGTATCCTCCAATTCACTGAATCAGAGTGTAAATGGGTGTGGGACATTCTTGGGACTGCTGAAACAACTTTGTTGTACACAGGAGATAGGTGATGCCGTATCTCTCCCCCTCTGTTGAGAGGGGACTGTTTAATTTCAGAGAATTAATGACCAGATGACTGCAAAGAATATAAATCCTTCCATTCCCTACCGTTCAGTCAGAACTGAAGAAGTTTCTTGGAAGAGAAGCAACATGTTTTAAAAAAAACACCAACAAGAAAATCCAGTTGCCTTTTGGAAAAGCACCTTTGGGCTGTACAGTCAAAAGATGAACCAACTGCCTGCATAAACGGTCTTGCAGTGTTTCCCTGCCAAAGATAATACTGTAGCATTTTCTGACAACAGTAATATTACAAAGACATCTATTGTGATGTGGTGCTTAAGGTGTTGGATTAGGTTCATAGGAATCCCAAGTTTCTTGTCTGTCCTTAGCCATAAAAACTCCTCAACTGATATTATATTGGGTGAGTCCCATGTAGTTTACCTGTTTATTATTTATTTATTTATTATTTATTTATTAATTTGATTTCTATACCGCCCTTCTCCCGAAGGACTCAGGGCGGTGCACAGCATATTAAAAACAAATAACAATACAATACATAAATACCGAAAATAAAAAACCCCTCTAAGACCAAATTAAAAGCCAAATATTGGTAGCTGTGTCGTATTTAAAATTGTATTAAAAATCGTCCCTAACTAAAATCCAATCATTTGTCTGGAATGGTGTAGGGTTTGCTATTTGAGCAGTGGGTTGGACTATAGAAGACCTCGGACATCCCTTCCAACTCTGTTATTCTGTAATGTTCTCCTTCCAGCTCTTTGATGGTCACTTTGACACCAAGATAGGACCTAAAGTTAACAGTGAGAGCTATCAGCGGATTGCTGCAAGCATCGGATGTGCCACAAACAACATACTGTTCTTGACGGACGTCACTCAAGGTAATAAAGCTGGTGGGGGCGCCCTGGTATGGTGAGAGGGTACATGTCTAGTTGGTGCTAGAGGCAAGATGAGAGCACATCTCCTGAAGGTCAGCAGCAGTGTGGACCAAAGTTTTACAAAAACAATTATCTTATGTAATTCCCCCTTAAAGGAAGAGCTGTAGAGGAGATGCTTTGGACCTAAAGCTGATTGGGTTTAATGTTTGACACCACCAGGTGGAATTTGGAAAGGTCTGTCCGGGTTCAAGATTTTAAGGCAACTGCAATCCACTCAAGTCTGCTGTGTGACTTCCACGTTGCTGGGGTTTCAAATTGCAAAAAGTGAGAGAGGAAGGAGAATATCCCTGATTTAATTAATTTTCACATTAAAAAAAACTTCGCTTGCAAACTTGAGAGTAACATGATTGTTTCTGTTTCCTGATGGGGCTGTCAAATTAAACATTACCCTCCCCAAATTATTGCCTGAAATGGTTTGAACATACTGATTTTTTTACTGTATGCTTCCCCCCTCCCCCCAGTTCTGTAGATAAGCCCCTTACAAGTAGCCCTTGACTTATGAGTATAATAGAGCCTGCCCATTACAATTGTAAGTTGTGACAGTTGTAAAGTGGAACATCACGTGATCGACCTGATTTTACAACTTTTTGGGGGAAGTGCTTGTTAAGCAAATCACCATCGATATTAAATGAACCCACAATTATTAAGCGAATGAATCAGGTGTTAAGGAAACCTGTTGTCCGCCATGGGGTGCTTTTGCCAAGACACTTCAACAAACAAGCCATAAATCACAGTCACATAACCACGGGACACTGCAAACAGCCATAAATACAGGCTGGATGCTGAGCACCCACAATGCAGTCATGTGACCGTGGGGGAGGGGCGTGAGAACCTTGGAACCGGATCATAAGTATCTTTTGGGAGGTGGCCCGTCATAACTTTGAACGGTCGCTAAGTGACCCATCATAAGTCAAGGACTACCTATAGTGGCTCCTAAGGAAATGGGAAGTACAGATAGTCCTCAACTTAACAACAGTTCATGTAGTGGCTGTTCGACGTTACAACGGCACTGAAAAAAAATGATTTGCGACCGCATTTCACACTTAAACGACCGTCGCAGCATCTCCGCGGTCATGTGATCAAAATTTGGATGCTTGGCCACTGACTCGTATTTATGACGGTTGCAGTGTCCTGGGGTCACGTGATCACCTTTTGTGACCTTCAGACATGGGGAAATCAGATTTCACTTCACAACTGTGTTACTAATTTAACAACTGCAATAGCTCACTTAACAACTGTGGCAAGAAACGGGGCGAAATTCACTTAACAAATGTCTTGCTTAGCCACAGAAATTTGGGGGCTCAATTGAGGTTGTAAGTCGAGGACTCTCCGTACGTGGGCAGAACAGGTGATACCCTGGAAGTAGACGGTTTGATGGTGTCTAATGAGCCTCGCTTTGTGTCCTTTAGAAGCGGATGCTGCCGAAGAAGCTGAAATGCATGTGGCTGTAGTGATCCGGCCGGGCAACGCAGGACTGACAGACGATGAGAAATCGTATTACAGACTCATAACCTCTTTCAGCGAACTCTTCCTGCCTCCCTCTGCTTAAAATTTGCATCTAGAACTAAGGAAGGGATGGGGAAAGATAGAGGAGCAGCTGAGAAAATTCTTCTTACCGTTTACTGCCAATGATAAGATTCTCAAAAAGAGAAATATTGGGCACTTGACACAAAATTCAACCTGATGGAAAACTACCAATTCTGCGATTGCAGCAAAGTGAAGCTCTCAACATGTCGAACTTATTTATACTTTGGATTTTCAAAAGGAAGATTCAAGAGGTACCGTTCAACAGAAGGTTCCCCAGCCTTTTTGAGGTCAGTCGGTGGGATGCGAATCCCACCTCCCATTCAGTTCCAAGGGGCCAAGCCCTGGAGACTTTCCTTACGGAATGTGTCTTGGGTGTCTGCTACAAACTCCCATCTTTTATTCGCGTCATCACCTGATTGCAGGTTTTCAAAGTCTTCCGTTCTTCGTTCTCGTTTGGAGTGAACGTAGGGGAAATCGGACTGTTGATTAGATCCACGATTTGAATATCTTGCAGTCTGAGCTCTCCGAATGATTGGTCTTGGAAAGAGAAGGGAAACCAGCGTAGGCACCATTAACTAAACCAAACACGCAAGCTGTGCCAACTGGAATATGTTTGCATGTGGAAGGCATGATTGATCCTGGTCACGAGAGTTGCATGACTGCTCAAAGGTTGTCATACTTAAGCTGGGGAAAGAGGTGGGGTTTTCACCCCCCTCTGGGATCAAATTCTGGAAAATTGCATTCTATATCTATATGCAGGTTAGTATTTTACCTATTGCACTTGAAGTTACCATGGAGAGCCGATGGTTCGTGTGGTTTCAATGGTGCAGACTGTGGCATTTCAGAAGTGACAAGCATGTCTCAATGTTAACACCTCTTCCTTCCTGATTTTAAAAGGCTCCTGGGTGTTTGAGCAATCCAAACCTGTCTCTTCAGCATGCTGCACATTTATGTTCTGCTATACGTAATGTTCTGCCTCCCTGAATCCTGCTCCTTTTCACTTAAGGACGTAAGGGGAACAATCCCAAATCGTGTTGAACGGAACTAACGCCAATATTTTTTTTTCCATCTGGCCAACATAATTTAGAGTTACATCCTTGCTTGGAAACGGGCCTGTTGTAATAACTGCAAAGCTGGATGAAGTACTGACATAGGGTGTCAAGAACATCCCAGTTTAATTGGAGATGTCTCGAGAATCTAGTAGGCTGCCTAGACCAGGGGTAGGCAACCTTAGCCCTTTTATGACTCGTGGACTTCAACTCCCAGAATTCCTGAGCCAGCATGGCTCAGCTTGGAAACTCTCCCTTTCCCCTCAGCATGGCTGGCTCAGGAATTCTGGGAGTTGAAGTCCACGAGTCATAAAAGAGCCAAGGTTGCCTACCCCTGGCCTAGAGTCTTACAATGGAACAAGCACATAATATCTAATCCTGAAATTTAATGTCCTCTGTATGTATGTTGTGGGCAGCCCTTCCAGTAATTTGACGATGTTGTTTCAATCGGTCTTGCTGTTGCTTTCCAGGCGGAAAGCTGTTGGTTGTTAACACACAAATGAGTAGCTGATCCTCAGAATTCTACTATACCATCAGTGTTGGAAAAGTCAAGACATGGTATGAAAATTCTCACGTATTGAGCTTACAAATTTTTCCCCATCCTGGATGCTAATGGAGAATGGTTCCATATTGCCGATGTAGTCAGTGTCAATATAGGATTGTCGCCTTGTGGTGCATGTCTTGCCTTTAAATAAAAGCTATGACTGAAGTGGAAGACTTGTGTCTGAAAGTGGCTTCAGCTTAGGCAGCTGCCCATTGCACTTGTGAGGGGAAAAGTCAACTTTTATTCTTTATTGTTGATAGCTCATTCAACATCTTTTCAATTTCAGAGGTATGCCAGTGAAGACAATTCTGTCCAGATCAAGGAAATCTGTGCCCTGTATCTAAACCTTTAGGGATTTAATTCCAGTTTTCCTCAGACAGGTGTCCGTTACTGAGGCCCAGATCCAGATCATCAATACAGGCCGTCCTCGACTTAACAATGGTTCCTTTAGCGACCATTCAAAGTTACAACAGCATTGAAAAAAGTGACTTATGACCATTTTTCACACTTATGACCGTTGCAGCATCCCTATGGTCACCTGATTTACATTCAGATGCTTGGCAACAAGTTCCTATTTATGACGTTGCAACGTCCCAGGGTCACGTGATCCCCTCTTGCGACTTTCCAGCAAGCAAAATCAATAGGGAAGCCAGATTCAATTGACAGCTATGTTACTAATTTAACAACTGCAGTGATTCACTTAGCAACTATGGCAAGAGAGGCGGTAAAATGGGACAAAACTCACTGAACAAATTTCTCGCCTTGCAACATAAGTTCTGGGCTCAATTGTGATAAGTCCAGGACTATCTGTATTACTTACTCCATCTTGCTCTGTTCTTCTCCTTCTCCTTCCCTACTACAGAGCTTATGAAGAAAAGAATGCAAACACAAACACAGATGGTCCTCAACTTACAGTTATAATCATAATTACCGCTGTAACTCATGCCAGTCATTAAGTGAGTGATATGACCAACCTTTTTACTTTTTTTTTTTTTGCAGCAATCATTAAGTGAATACCATAGATGTTGAATGATCCATTGGCCTTTTTTTTTTTTGCCAGAAACTGGAAGTAGATGCCAGTTTCCCACACAGAATATTGTAAATATGAAATAAAATTGCAGTCACATGAGCACAGATACTGCAAATGGACATAAATGCAGGCAGGATGCCAGAGGAATAGACATTGTAACTGAATTCAGGTCATAAGATACTTTTTTGGGGATCTGTCGTAACTTTCAATGGTCACTAACTGACCATTCATAAGTCAAGGACTACCTGTATATTCCACACGGATAAAAATGTAAACATATAATTCCTTATAACTTTGGCTTTGGATGAACCACTTCTGGGTTACCGGTGTTTTCCCTGCATGAACACAGATGTTTCTGTGACTATTTTGAGCAACAAGGCCATTCTCAACGGACTCCTCTGAATACTTTTAATTACTTGGCATTTGGGCTCAGCTTTAAGAAAGCAGGCAATGACATAAACACGTTGCTGTGTAGGCACAAGCACAAAACAATCCTCAGGCTTTCCATAAAAGAAATTTATTCAGTGGTCATGTGTCAGTATGCAGTTATGAAGTCTTTGCTCGACCATATTGAAAAATGTGCCGTAAGAAATACTTAAAAGATATTTACACTATTATCATGAAAAAAACATTGGGTTGCATATTAAATGGAGAGAGAAAATGTTCACAAAACCATTTTTCCTCCCTTTCAGAAAAAATGCAAACTATAAATGATACAACATAAAAGATTTTTAAAAATTGACAATGAATTATTTACAGTAAAACACATTTTAACAAACCCATTTAGCTGCTTGTTGGTGGATTTCTTAGGTTTCCAACCTCTTCATAACTAGGCAAGCACAGCTGGCAATGGATTCCTTCACAGCTGGGGTAAGCAACCTGTTACCCACCAGATGTTTGTAATACAGTCTCTTGCCATTTGGCCATCCTGTCCAGAGCTGATGGGAAATGAGATCCAAACATCTGAACAGCATTTAGCTTGACTTACAGCCTCTCTCATAAACCCCTCTAATATAGAAACACTTGTGTATTTTACAATTTTGTGTGCGTTTATTATGTCCTATATTGAAAACCATTATCACTCTGACAAGTCTCCTATTTCTAATTATTAAACTTCAGCTTTTCGCACAATTCGTTGTTGAAATATTTTCTGAGGGTGGCAAATAATCTCATCCCAAAAATCTATACCTTCAACTGTAGATATTTGATTATTCCATATGGCAAATTAGCAACTTTTCAATTGCCCTTTATAAGCTCCTTGTTATTGCTACTTGGTTAACCGTCCAACATCTGCTGATTATTATTTTTTTTTGCACTTCAAGCAATGTTACAGTTTTCTCCTTAAGTAACGACTGTACCCCACAGCTTCACATTGGCATATCTAGTCTTAAAATTCCAAAGTAGAAACATCTTCCAATCTCTGAAAAAAAGATGTGTTAAGTATACAGGCCATATAAGAGAAAGAAAACTTGTATGCAACTTGAAAAATTGTCTAGAAGGAAGATTTTGCAGGACAGTTCCTTGAGATTCCTGCCTCTATGAAAATATTAAAAGGCCCTGAAACAGAAATCTGCATCTGGCTAAGTTTCTATAGCTGCCTACCATCCATTAACTGGGCCCCAGAGGGAAGCTGCATAAAAATGTTCCTGTTTTTTTGTGTTCTTGTTCCCCAAGTCAGTGAGAAGTGAACCTGTTTTCAGTATAAAGGGTGGTAAAAAGCACCAGAATATGGGAAGGCAGATAGACTGACAATCCAAGCCCTGATTTTTGTGAGGTCAAGCACCATCTGCCTCACTCTCTAATGGACCATACTGGGGTAAAGTTGGCAGTTCCTTTCAAAGAGTCTTAAATGCAAAAAACAGGAAGGAAAGATAACATTGCACCTCAGCAGACAACTGACCCCAGAAACTTAGTAACACAGGAAACTGGTTTGAAACCTCAATAATAGACTTGGGAACTGTAACTTCCATGGCCAAATGTACAGGTTATAGTATATACACAATGGTACCCAGCAGACATACTCCTGATCTATAAGATATTTGCTCTGGTGTCAACAATCATAGCCCTGTCACAATCATACCCTGTCTTCTGTATGGTGTATGCACATAGACACCAGATGCAGCCTGCATTGCAACTTATTGACACATCATCTGGACACACCTGCACCCAGTGGATGCCCTATGATACATCCACAGACCATGGTTGCTGTGTAATCCTGGTCTAAAACTTGCAGATAACAAGACCCTTTCTTTTTTTCATTGTCCCACAAGGTGCAACCGCATATACTGTATGTATGAATAACAGTTCATAGTTCTCTGCTACCTGTTTTATGTAACATAACATAATGCAAAATTAAGTTCTGCCAGCCAGTCCCGAGAGGACTATGGGAAACGAACGTAAACTCGATGACTCAGCATCTCATACCGTGTTATAAAACGCCTCACGCAGAAAGAAAGGGAAAAAAAGCAAAGAGGTAGTGTGGGCCAAATGTTTCCAACTGAGCCATTTTGAGGACAAAGCACCCTGTCCTAAATGTGTGACAACTGTTCTAAGCAAGAAGTGGACTGTTTTGAACATTGGGGAAAATGTGCCTTGAGTCCAGAATACGTGCAGGAAGTTTGACAGCATCCCGCTTTGCGCTTAGAACAGCCATTTTGGATTTGAGCCGGGCGATGTCCCAAAGGCGCTTTTTTTTCCAACAAGCAGCTGGACTATGTTTCTTTCCTTGAAGATGTTTCACTTCTCATCCAAGAAACTTCTTCAGTTCTTGGATGAGAAGCAAAATGTCTTCAAGGAAAAACAAAGTCCCGTTGCCTTTTGGGGGGGGGGGGGGGGGGGGGGGAAAGCACCTTTGGGACAACCATGATCTGGATGACTGAGAATCTCCACAGAATTTGAGGCAGGAGGTCCAGGCTCAAACCGAAAGCGATTCAAGTTGGAAACATTTTGCACATCCACGCAAAGAGGCATCTTGTTCTTTCTTCAAAAGAGAAAGGGAAAAGGAAAAGAGAAAGAAAAAGAAAGAAAGAAAGAAAGGAAAAAGGAAAGAAAGAGAAAGAAAAGAAAAAGAAAAAGGAAGGAAAAAGAAGGAAGGAAGGAAGGAAGGAAGGAAGGAAAAAAAATTGGGCAATTGCAGGGAGAAATTAGCAAAAAAGCTTAAAACACGGTAAATGAAAGAGGCCGTGAGTTCAATCGTTTGACATCAAACATCATCCGCCTGGTCAATGGGAGTTGGGTTACACCTGATCGGTTTGATACTCAGAGGCTTCAGAGAGGCTTTCGGAAAAGCTGAGGAAATTCTCTTGGTACTCGGAGCAAATGATCTCAAACCGGTAGTGTCTGAATTCCACCGCGAAGGAGCCGAAGAAACCTAGGAAGCACATCACCATTCCCCACTGGACTCGTGACGCGTGCATGTGGAACTTAAACTCACTCATCAAAATGAAATCTGAAGGAGGGTCAAGGAAAATACACAGAAACATAACACGGTAACAGGAGCAAACGTTGAAATGCCTCTTGGAATCCGGGCTATACCTGAAACCTACATCCCATCGAACCCACGTCTGACCATGAAAAGCAGCAATACCGGCAGTCCTCGACTTAAGAACCATTTGTTTAGTGACCGTTCAAAGTTACATTGGCACTAAAAAAAAGAACTTATGACCATTTTTCACACAACTCTTGTAGCATCCCCATAGTGATCGAAAGTCAGGAGCTTGGCAGCTGGCATGTGTTTATGATGTTTGAGTGTCCCGGGGTCATGTGATCCCCTTTTGTGACCTTCTGACAAGCAAAGTCAACGGGGAAGCCAGATTCACTTAACCACCATGTTACTAACTTAACTACTGCAGTGATTCACTTAACAACTGTGGCAAGAAAGGTCGCAAAATGGGGCAAAACAACTGTCTTGCTTGGCCGTGGAAATGTTGGGCTCAATTATGGGTATAACTTGAGGACTACTGTATTAAGCTGACAGAATTGTAACTCAACCTTTATTTCACATTGCTTATTCAACCATGGTTTGCAACTTTGCTAATGAGAAGACCATTTCAACTTAAGCAACTGGAAATGTTATTCCTTGGCTGCTAAGACTCGCGCAGATGTTGCTGCTCGTGTTTTTTCCCCCCACAGTATCTATTTGTGAAACACAAGGATTAGAAACGTCATACCGTATGTTAAAATAAAGGTAAGTTTCTCAGGAAAACCCAAAGTGTGTGCCAACTCAGGCATATGTTATCAGAGTGATTGTGGCTAGGGTAGAGTTTCTTAAGTAGTGTTTTGCGCAACTCTAAACTTCTACAAGAATTTGATAAGATACAGTATCTGTGGCAGATTAAGAGCAAAAAGGAATGAATAAATAAAAGTTCTCTCAAGTAGAGCCAACTTTTTTTTTACCTTCAGAGTTTGTCTCTGGATTAGGCAATCTGGGAAAATTTTCTTTCTAACTATCAGATTCCACAGCCTAAATAGGTTTGAAAATCTTTGGCATAAAACATTAGATCTGGAATTTTCAACAGCATAATCCTATATTCAGGATCCCCTTAAGAATGATCTCATCAAGAAAGAAACAGAATATTTCCTGTGGGCTATTTCTTCACGCTGTAGGAACTTCCCAGCAGTCTTATGTGTTGACCTCCAGCTGTTTTTAGATTGAATAATTCCCCAATACTGTCTCCCTGCTAGAATCAACTTTGAGTTCAGGGCTGCACATTTTCCATTCCTTTTGTAGGGACAAAACATTTCAAAGAAATCCAAATAAAATTTGAAAACATTGCAGGATGTTTCCAAGAAGGCTCCACATGCACTACCCAGGTGACCCTGAGGACATAGATAAACCTCCAAGTGGCCTCCATGACTCTCTAAAACAGTGGCTCCCAATCTTTTCTATACTCTGCACCCCTGGAATGCTTCTGATATATTCTCGCACAACTTACAGAAGTTCGAAATAACGGCAACAAATTATGCATATACACTAGAACAGTGATGGCGAACCTTTTAGAGACCGAGTGCCCAAACTGCAACCCAAAACCCACTTATGCATCATTGGGTGCTGGGTGGGTGTGGCCTATTGGGTGGGTGTGGCCCATTGGGTGGGCGTGGCTGCGGTGGTAACAGCAGACTGGGTGGGACTAAAAAGTTCAATCAGTCAATTCCAACTTTGCAAGATGTTTTTTTTTCCCACGAGAAGTTGAAATTGACTGATTGATTGAACCTTTTTTTTTTGTACATGGCGGCGGAGGCCTAAAGCGAAAAGGTTTTATAAAACCCAGCTGAAGGCCTAGGACTGGGGCGACAGCGCGTGTGCCCACCGAGAGGGCTCTGAGTGCCACCTCTGGCACCCGTGCCATAGGTTCGCCACCACTGCACTATAATTTTGAAAAGCCAAGTTTTCGCACCCCCTGGAATATCGTGCGAGCATCCCCGGTTGGGAATCCCTGCTCTAGAAGAATGCAAATGACCAGCTGCCTGCAAGAAATATAAATCCTTCCATTCCCCACCATCCCGTCAGAACAGAAGAAGCTCCTTGGATGAGAAGCGAAACATCTTCAAAGAAAAAACAAGGAAGTCCAGTTGCCTCCTGAAAAAGCACCTTTGGGACAACCATAACCCAGATGACTGAGAATCTGCATGGACTTGCAACAATCAATTGCAAAAGGCAATTTTGTATGAACAATTTCTGACTATACCTTTAACATCATAATAATTCAAATGCAGCTAACTTGTTAGCACTAAAGCTTTGTTTCTTTAAATATTGAAAGGGGGGGGAGTTTGAAAACCCGTAATTTGGGTCATTTGGCTGTCTCCAAACATCAAATGAAGCACATGAAAACAGGAACAGTGTTGAATTTAGTAACAATCCAGAAACAGCTTATCAGGATTCAAGCTGTTTTTTTTTTAAAGCAATACTTGCATTTTGAAAAGAAAAAAAGGAGCAAAAACATAAAAGGATACACAGGACTAGGCAGAGAGTTATTGCCGCTGACAAAACCACTCGTGGGATTCCAGCTTTTCTACCTTCGTTCTTCAAGTTTATTTTGAGGGTTAGTGCGGACTGAATCCAACAGGCCAGAGTGCCGAACCCAAAGGCCAAAAAGGTGCCAACATTGTGTATTTCTTCATCATTGGAAAGCTGGAAAAAAAAGAGCACAGAACAGGTGACCTTGGTTAATACACCCAGTGAAAGAAACCAGTCAGCCAAATTTTCCTAAAGGTTCCACTTTCTAGGGCTCAACTCAGAATGCCCTAATACAGACATGTCAAACACAAGGCCTGGGGGCCGGATGCGGCCCGCGAAGTGGTTTCATGTGGCCCGCGAAGCCATCCTGGAAACAGTGAGGGAACGGCCCCCTCTGCCTTGGCCCTGGCCCACAAGGCCGTCTGGAAACAGCAAGGAACCAGCCCCTGCTGCCTCGGCCCCGCCCCCTGGGTGCATGCTGGGGAGGTGTCACCCTTTATGAGGAATGAAGAAATGCACCATTGCCTGGAAGTGGCCAGCAAATGGCCCTCGCCTACTTCACATATCTGGGTTGATGGGCTCTGCCCTGATCCCACCCCCTTCTGCCAGAGACCCTCAGATCTGGTCCCACCCCTTTCTGCCAGAGACCCTCCCTTCGACCAGTCCGCTCCCACAGAGAGGGCCTCCTTAGGGTGCCGTCGGCCAGTCAATGCCGGCTGGCGACCCCCAGGGGGAGAGCCTTCTCTGTGGCAGCACCTGCCCTCTGGAATGACCTACCCCCCGACCTACGTACAACTGCGGACCTGCGACTTTTTCGCCGAGTCCTGAAAACTCATTTCGTGCGGCCGGCCTGGCGTAGTCTTAATTAGGTTTTAGTATAGGTTTTTTATATGGGGTATTTTAGAGCAGGCCTTTATTTATTTAATTTGATTTTAGAATAGATATTTATTGTGATTTTTATTATCGCCTGTTCACCGCCCTGAGTCCCGTAAGGGAGATAGGGCGGTATATAAATCTAAATAAACATAAACAAACAAACAGATCTGTCCCACTCCTGCCCAGGCCTCCACAGGCACCCTTGACGCGAATGATGTAGAGCTGGCCACGCCCACCCAGTAGGCCACACCCACTCCATCCACACCCACCCAGTAGGCCACACCCACCCGGCCCCCCGAAGGGCAACTGCAATGCTGATGCGGCCCTCAATGAAATTGTGTTTGACACCCCTGCCCTAATATATCTCTCAACTTCCAACCTGATACAGATAGTCCTCAACTTACGACCACAACGGAGCCCAAAATATTTGTTAAGTGAATTTTATCCCCATTTTATCACTTTTCTTGCCCTAGTTAAGTGAATCACTGCAGCTGTTAAGTTAGTGATATGGTGGTTAAGTGAGTCTGGCTTCCCCATTGACTGTTGCTTGTCAGAAGATCACAAAAGCAGTGGTGGGATTCAAATATGTGAACAACCGGTTCTCTGTGTGGATGCCGCTTCCGGAAGTCCATTCTGGGCCTGGGCAACAAAAAATTAGCTACCGGTTCTGCCGAACTGGTGAGAACTGGCTGAATCCCACCACTGGTCTGAAGGTGACCTTGGAGTTAATCTATGCTGATTTAGGTGCTGATTCCTGGTGGAAAGGTGCTGGAGTCTTTTTTCTCTTTGGGGCTGGTTGATTGTCTCTTTTGCGTAGTTGACATGGTTCCGAAAAGAAGTAGCTTTTCAAAGAACTTTGAGGCTTATTTACCTTAAAGAATCCTTTATTAGGCTACATAGCTTCGGCACGAACAATAAAAAGCCAAAAACTGAACCTCCCACCCCACGAGCACCCATAACAACGCATAACTCACTCCTTCATTTTACAGTCATCAATCATATGCTCCAATTAGTTTGAAGTGTGAATTGCTCCCTCCCTATTTCTCCTGTTACGCTGACCTTGGCTGTGCTATGCTGAGATATTGTTATGATTAGCTGGCATACTTTCCCACCTACTAGGCTAGTATTGTCTGCTTTAACTCTAGAAGTGATATGTAGGCTAAATAAAACATGTTTGCTTCTTCACATATGGCAAGCAAGAACATCCAATGTTAGCAGACTTGACAGTAGTCTATAGATGTCGTAAATGTCTATGCGTCAATTGATGGCTAATTTGTCAGAATGCCAGGCTTCTAGAAATTCCCTGGCATTTTTGGATTTGGCCTGGTCAAGAATGGTCGCATTTTCCCAATTGAAACTATGGTTAAATCTGTCTACTGTATATGTTATGAAATTAAAGAATTTTCATCATGCCTTTTGACTGCCAGTTGGTGTTTGTGGGTGCGTTTTGCCAGATCTCTGCCTGTTTATCCCCCATAGTGGTGGTTGCAGTTCTTACACTGTATGCTGTAGATCAGAGGTCCCCAACCTTTTGGGCACCAGGGACCGGTTCCGTGGAGAGAGGTTTTTCCATGGACCAGAGGGTGCGTGGTTTTGTGTGCTGCCTGCATCCCGCGGATGGGGCTTTGCTTGTTTGTGCCGACTGGTTGCTGGCATGCCGCGGCCCGGTACCGGTCCACCGACCGGGGGTTGGGGACCCCTGTTGTAGATGACTCCTGTTATTTTCTTCTGGGATTGCTGGGTCTTTTGGTTAGGATGTTTTGAAGGGCTTTAGGTACTAATGTAGGTTCTAATAAGACTGAGGCTGCCTATGGATTTGAACTGCTCTTACTAATCTATTAAAACCAGGTATATTTTACAATATTGCCACAAAATCTGGATTTCAGATTTGCAGGCTGGCAAGTTTTTAATCCCTTCCTCTCTTAATATGCCACAATCTTATTCTTGTGCAAATCCATCAGTTGTCATAGTTCCGACTAATGAAACACTTCAAAGAACTTCCAGGCAAGGTTTACCCTAAAAGCCTTTATTATCAGCGTAACAGATTGACGGCACTTCATGTATGGTTCATGCATGGTTTGTTTCTTGTGCTTACTTCTTGAAGATATCACTCTCATAAATTTGCCAAATTTCTCAGCTGCCTACAGCCAAAAAGGTAGCATAGAAACTTTATGGCTTGACCCCCCCAATCAAGGTTTTGGCTCATGCGAATACAACTTAGGTTTATCCCGGCAGTCATGTATGCTCAATGGATCTTGCCTTTCTGCCATGAAGTTTTCCTACAGAAAAACTGAAGGAAGTTCAAAAGAAACTTTATGTGGCTGAAGCAAGACAAATGGCACCAAACGATCTTGCTAAGCACACAATTACCTCCAGGGTCTAGCACAGTGGACTGATTCTGGCTTAGTCAATTCAGAAGAAAGCCATTTTATAGGGAACTGGGACATTCATTAAATGAGACAGGAAACAAAAGTTCTGGATTCTGTTAAGCGATAAGTCATAATTTCCTCCAGTACATTTTATCGAATAAATAAACCATAGTCGTTTATGCAGAAACAAAAGCCTTAAGCCATGATTCATAAATAGTGGCTAGATATAACAGTATGTGGGAAAGAACTTGGGAGACTGGGCAAAGAGACAAAACCAAGGGAAAAGGGAAATGGAAAGGTTTCCCCACTGTTTCCAACTCTAGGGGGCAGTGTTGATCTCCCTTTCTCAGCAGAGGGAGTCAAGTGTTCTCTGAAGACATTTCTGAGGTCATCTAGCCAGCATGACTATATAGTAGTGGCCAAAATTGTGGAAAACTTTTGGGAAAAGTGTACAGTAGAAATGCCACCTTTGGTTAAGTTTCCACCCATTTTTCTTCTAATTTCTTTATAACTGTGGCCTTGTACACTTAATAATGCTATTTTACATCGCTTTCAGGGCAACCAGTCAACTCTTTGCACCATTACTTTAATTTTATTACGTTTTACAAGCTCACTAAATGAAAGAACACAAAAAACCCCCAACCAACTTGATAGCGATCACATAACACACTGACAAATGTCCTCCTCTCAGCTTCAATACGTGACATTAATAACTGAATCCTACTGTGATCTGATTGGCTCATTGGCAAAACAAGATGACACCCGATTGGCTCTCTAAACCAGTGTTTCTCAACCTTGACAATTTTAAGGCATGTGGACTTCAACTCCCAGAATTCCACAGCCAGCAGGCTGTGGAATTCTGGGAGTTGAAGTCCACATGCCTTAAAATTGTCAAGGTTGAGAAACACTGCTCTAAACACTCACGCTCACTGGCTACAATCAGAGGAAGGAAAGCTGCCTGATATCAACCTGAGCAAGTTGTGCTTCCTTTTTCTGGTTATTTGGCTATAACTTTTCACAGAATACAGTAACAGATAACTGAACAAACTTTGTTGCATTACATTCTTGATTAAATTATCTTTCCATTGATATATAGCAGTGAGTGCCCAAAAACAGGCCCTGCCCCCACCCTGCCTGCTCCACCCCCACCTCTCCCCCATCCCGCTCCCCGCCCCCTATCCCGCCTACCCACAGGGCCACCCACTGCCTCCACAGATCGCCCAGGCGGCCCAGCAGCGCCATGGCAGTCACGCCCTCTCCTTGCGCCCCGCAGAATCAACTGCGCACGACGGGGCACAAGGGCGGAGTCTTGTCCCTGCTGCCCAGCTGCCATGTTCTTGGCTGCGCTGCTCCACGTGGGCCGCGCTCGGGGGCTACTCTCCTCTAGGGGGGCTGCTGGTGAGGTGGTGGCCGGGGAGAGGCGGGGCTGGGACGACGGCACGCGTGCCCACAGAGAGGGCTCTCAGTGCCACCTCTGGCACATGTGCCATAGGTTCGCCACCACTGATATATAGTTTTATGGTACTACTCCAAAAAAAAGTGGTGTTATTAGCCATCAAACCTCAAAAATACACTTTTCCCAAAGGGTTTCCACAATTTTGGCCACTACTGTATGTCGAGGTGCATGGAGTGCTGTTACCTTCCCACCGGAGTGGTACCTATTTATCTACTTGCATTTGCATGTTTTCCAACTGCTATGTTGGAAGGAGCTGGGGCAAGTAACGGGAACTCACCCCATTACATGGCACTTGGGGCTTGAACCCAGACTGTCACCTTTCCAGCTTATAAGCTCAATGAATTTAACCCTCTGAACCATCGACAAGAGAACGGTCAGATTTAAAACTAGCATAACCCACAGCAGGATAGTAAGTGGGGGCAAGAGGCTCAGAAGAGACCTTTCCTAGTTTCTCAGGCTGTAAAGGGGGTGGTGGTGGAGGGTGAAGGACTATTCAGGTAGTCCTCACCTTACGACCACAACTGAGCCCAAAAGGCATGTTGCTAAGCGAGAAATTTGTTTTGCCCCCCTTTTACGACTTTTCTCGCCACATTTGTTAAGTGAAACACCATAGTGGTCAAATTAGCAACACGGTTGTTAAGTGAATCTGCCTTCCCCGTTGACCTTGCTTGTCAGAAGGTCGGAAAAGGTGATCCCGTGACCCCCCAGGATACTGCAACCGTCATAAATATGAGTCAGTTGTCAAGCATCTGAAAGTCACGCGACCGTGGGGATGCTGCAATGGTCATACGTGTGAAAAATAGTTGTGTCCCTTTTTCCGGTGCCGTTGTAACTTCGAACGGTCAGCAAGTGAACGGATGTAAGTCGAGGACTGTCTGACTATCCAGACCTGCAAGATTCTGTCTACAGTAAAGTAGAATTAGCTCATCTTGATGTAATTCCTAGCTGGTTTACCCAGGAGATCAACACACTAAACCAGGGGTAGGCAATCTTGGCTCTTTTATATGACTCATGGACTTCTACTCCCAGAATTCCTGAGTAGCATAGCTGACTCAGGAATTCTGGGAGTTGAAGTCCATGAGTCATAAAAGAGCCGAGGTTACCTACCCCTGCACTAAACCAAAAGCAACAAAATGAGAGTGAAAAGTGTGATTCCAACCAGTAAAAAGACGAGAAAATGAAATACCTGGAAGTTACCCAGAAGGGTCATTCCAAAAGAAGCCAAGCATAAGGCCACCAAGCCACTGACATTGAGCCATGGATTCAAAACCTTTGGCTTTAGCTGAATGAAGCGTAGGACAGCTATGACCAGTGCTGAAAAAAAGAGAGAGAAAATTGGTGATGCAGCTCTGCAATTTTAACTTCCACAATAAAAGCCATTAAATGTACAAGAGGAGACCCATTCACATGGACAGGCGCTGTCATTTACTGCAAAACAACTGTTAGCACAGGCTGAGCAGCCCCAAAATGAATTCTCCCTTTAACTTTGTGGGTGACTAAACCAGTAAAGCCACTAGCGCCAGTTCCCCCACTCCTATCCCCATGAGATTAGAGACGTATAACTGAGTTTGCACACAAAGCTTAACTTGGTTACTGCATCCGCCTTTTCCTGTGTTTACAGTGTATTAAACCACACTTTTACTAAGAAAATGGGCTTGGCTCACATATGTTAGCCAAGTTTTTAACTAACCCGCTATATGAGCAGTGCAGTCAATACCGAAGCAAATCACTTGTTATATTTTTGCAGCCCGATTACTGCTCATGGGCCTCATACATGGAGCTGAATACTTGCAGAAAGGAATGCTGTATACCAGGGGTCTTCAAATTTGGCCCTTTTATGACTTGTGGAATTTAACTCCCAGAATTCCTCAGCCAGCGTGCCTGGCTGAGAAATTCTGGGAAATGAAGTCCACAAGTCATAAAAGGGCCAAGTTTGAAAACCCCTGCTGTATACAGTGTAAAAACCTGATGGGCTTAGAGCAGGGGTCTTCAAACTTGGTCCTTTTATGACTTGTGGACTTCAATTCCCAGAATTCCTCAGCCAGGCATGTTGTCTTCAATTCCCAGAATTCCTCAGCCAGGAGTTGAATTCTGGGAGTTGATCCCTGGCTTAGAGCAAGATTCTAAATTTTTCAGGAAGCTCACACATATATATAAAAATTACTCCCTATCACATAGATCCAGCTCCCAACTCAGAAATGGTAGGACTGGACAACCACAAATCAGTAAAGATTAGGAAAAATAAGGACTTTGTGTCTGGTCTTTCACAAAGTCTTTCTGTGAACTAAGATTTCATCCCAGTTCAATTGCTACAAAACAGCTGTATGGATAATCACTGTTTATCTTAACAATTATATTACGTAGCAGTGATTCTCAACCCGTGGTCCGCGGTCCCCTGGAGGGGTATGTGTGATGTCGTGACAGGGCATCTTCTACAAAGGCTTGAAGAAATGTTATTTATTTTATTTTATTTATTTTACAAAATTTATATGCCGCCCTTCTCCCCATGGGACTCAGGGCGGCTCACAGCATGTTAAAACAATATACAGAATTACCCCTTCTAAAAACCAATTAAAATCCAAATATTAGTGGCTGTGACTATTTAAAATCATTAAAAATTATCCCTATTTAAAATTCACCCTAGGTCAGGCC